TTTTTAAAAAAAAGTATTTTAAAATTATTTTTCGACCTATATTTTGTTTTTGCATTGTTTTTAGCATGATCAGAGTGGATATTTAAATCAACGTATATGTCGAATCTTGTTAGTTTGAAAATTAAAACTTAATTATTATTTATATTTATATTTCATAAATACTACAGGGGCGAAGGTACAGATATTTAAAAACTAGCAATTTCTAAATTAGAGTAGATTAAAATTAAAATAAAATAAATCAATAGAAAAATAGATAAAAGTTTAAATACAATTAAAAAAAAATGAGAAGAATTAAAAAAAAAAATTCACCATTTTGTTATGAAGCATGGAGAATATTGGGGAGTGATTCATTAGCAGAAAAAAATAAGGGTTTTATTATGAATATAATAAATTTATTATTATAATTATTAATTATTAAAAATAAAATTTTAATCATTAATAAAATAAATTAATTATTATAATGTTAGATTATACTGAAAAAAGACGAGTGTTAATTTTTTTTAGAATAAAAATTTGTACAACAGAGGAAATAATTAAATTAAACAATTGACAATAAAGATTTAAAAGAATAATAAAATGTAACATCAGCAACTAATTCTTCTCAATATTGGGCACCACAATCAAAAAACATGCTTCAAATGTTATTTATTTATATCTATAAATAATCATTTTAGGCTTCCCCTTTATTTAAAAAAAAAAAATCTACCAACTAATTTAATTTATACAGTTTATTAGTTTTTATTTATTTTTTTAAAATAAATTTTATATGTGTGTTTCATAACACATATTAACTATATATTTGTGCTGCGCAAAAAATTTAATAAAGGTTTATTTTTTAATATATTAATTTTAAATCTTAATGTTCACTTTTTATAAAATCATTTAATTTAAATTTTAAAAATTCAAAATTCTTCTAATAGTGAATTGCAGAAACCCAAGGAGCGCAGCCATTCTTGACATCCTCATTTATATCTTGCCTAAATCTTTTTAGAACAAATCCATTCTAAAAAAATATTAAAAATAAAATATGGAAAACATTAAAATGTAAAAATAAATAATACTAAAATATTTAAAAATAAATAAATTTTTAAATAGTTTTGGTCAGGTTTGATTAAAATAAATTAGTTTACTATCTCTGTTCCATAAAATATTTGTCACAATTGAAAAAATAATTTGTTCCAAAATAATTGTCCACATTTAATGATTCCAAGGAGTAATAAATCTTTTTTTTTTTTTCATATTTACCCTTTGCATATGACCAATGATTATTCTTCAATTTAATAATTTTCTTAGAAAAATTAGTACTAAATTAAGGGTAATATAGTCAATTTTACTCAAATTCTAAACTCTGTTCCATGTACTTGTCACATTTTGAAATTTCACATTTCTTAAGAAAACCATTAATTTGTCTAAAGTTACCAAAAATTATTAATTAAATTCAACCATATTTACCTTTAATTTAATACTAATTCTCTAAGAAAGCTATTAATTAAAGTAATAATTATTGGTCATGTTACAAAATGGCAAACATTAGAAAAAAAAATATTTATTACTTCTTTGAAACATAAATGTGACAAGTATTTTAGAATAAGTTATTTTTCTCAAATGTGACAAAGTATTATGTAACAGAATTAATAATTTATTTAAATTTAAACAATTTTAATAATTTTTTTAAAGGAACGTCAGAATTTAAATGTGACCAAGTATTATGAAACAGATAAAGCAAATAAGTAAAAAATTGAAAAGTTGAATTATTAATAAAAATACTATATATTTTGAAATTAGAATTTTAAAAAAGAAACTATCTATTTGAGTCAGTTTATTAATAAAATATATTCATATTTCAGTACAGCTTCCTTTAATTAAAGATTTTAAAATTTCAATATTGTTACATCAACAAGGAATCTACAAGCCAAGAGTAGACCTACTGAAAGCGATAGTTTAGTTGCCAATCAAATGATATATATATATAATATATAATATATCTGAATTTGATTTTAGATTTCCTATAAAGTATAATTAAATAGTCCTCTCGTCCCGTTTTGTTTGTTTGTTATTTTTTTTTTTTGAATGTACCAAAATGTTTTGTAAAATTTCCTAAATTTAATAGATAGGACAATTATTTTTTTCAGATAAATTTTAATGATTCTTCCATTAAATAAATGAACTTTTTTATTAATATGTATGAGTTAAGGATAAAAAAGAAAAAAATAAATTTTAATTGATTAAATTTTTAATAATACATATCCTGTTCAAACCCATGCAAATAGAATGATAAGAGAGCATGATACAACGGAACCTTAAAATTGGGGCAAATTCTTATCATTAAGTTTGGGAGAGAATGGAAAATGGGAAGAAAGAAAAAACATGATGAAAAATTTTGAAAAGAGATTTTTTATTTTATTTTTCTGTGGAAAAGAAAATTTCATATGGGTTACATAAGCAAAATGAAAAGAATATTCCATTAACTTTATTAATTTACTAGCAAGTCAAGTTTTCACACAGAGAAATACAAATAGCAAGTCAAGTAAGAGTCAAGGTCTCAACACATCCAATAAAGTCCCAATTAATATGCATTCGTATTCCCAAGACTGATTCAAATCTAATAATTTGAAAAAAAAAAAAAAAAAATCTTCAATTTATTAAAATTAGTAGTTGCTTTTACGCCATATCAATTTAAATAAGGAAGTTACCCAAAAAAAAGAAAAAGCAAGATTTTAAAATTAACTTAGTTCTGTCTATAATATTTAATTATTATATATAGCCATAATCTAATTTTTATACTAAAATTATTTTATAATTTTATATTTCTATTTGTCTTTATTTTGGTGATTTTTAAAAATATAAATCCAAAATTTAATTCATATATTAAAAACCATATCTATGGCTTAGAATAGCTTTACCTATTTAAATCCATTTTTTGTAAAGATTAAAAAGTTATTGTCTAATTGATGAAAATTTAGTGAGATATGAACCCAAAAGTTGAAAACTATGGAGGAGAATTTTTGAGGATAAGAGTTTTAAGAACTTAAATAAAAGTAAAGACAAAATACTTGTACTGATAGTTTGGGTTTTTAATAAAAAAAAGCACGAGAAAAGATGTTAGATTAGATGTATACTGGAGTCCAAGTGCAGTCAATTCACATCCCTAGTTTCCGCCAAATGTTATACTTTAGTAGGGGAAGGTCTTAAAAAAAGAAGAGGTCGACGTAAGAACTACTTGGGAGGGAAATTGTCGCTAAGACCTAATGGTTTTTTGGATATTAGTGAGGATTAAGCTGCAAACATAAATAACATGAATGCAAAAAGTATAATGTGATAAACCCTGATTTATTGTTATATATTTCATGTTTTGTTTTTATTAATATATCAAATGATTTTAAAATTCCATTTTCAATTTTTTTTAAAAAAAAAGTAATTAAATTATTTTTCCAAACATATATTTTGTTTGCATTGTTTTTAGCATGACTAGAGTTGGATATGTAAACTATAAGATTCATGAGTCGACCCCTGCTAGTTTAAAGACTAAACTAATTATTATTATAATTTATTTCATAAACTATGGCAGGGCAGAGGTACACTATACCCAGTGTAGGCAATGTGGCCCACCATTAAAAAAAAAAAATAAAATTGTAATTTCTATTTTTATCCTCTCTCCCACTTATGTGATTAAATCAACCATCAATGACCATCATGACTCGTGAGTGTCTTTTCTTTTCTAAGGTCCAATCTATTCTAGAAATCAGCTGCCCAAATTTCACAGCATAAATGTTTTAAAAGCCAAAAATTTTTAATAACTTCAAAAGATAACCATACTAAAATTTAATATCTTAAAATATATAAAACCCTAATTAAATAATTCATAAAACCCTAATTAAATAATTCTTTTACTAGCTAGATACACCTTTATATTTCCGCTTTCCAGCAAAACTCAGGAAAGATTATCTTTCAATTAGTCATTATATAGCTTATTCAATAATGAAAAATTATGTAAGTACGAACTTTACATATAAGGTTAGAAAAAGATTGGGAAAAGAAATTTAAGAAAAATTGTAGATGAATATATTTGGAAATTAAGTAAGGTTCTCTTTTCTTCCAAAAAAAGTAATGATTTTTTTTTTCTATTCAAATTATCAATTATCATTCTGACCAATATTTAAAACTAACAATTTCTAATTAGATGGTAAACAAATAAAATTTTTTCTATTAAAATTTAAGAATAAAATTGCCTATTCTGATTAAATTTTTTGGCTTCACCCTCAAATTATGTAAATGTGCAAAACACCAATTATAATTATAATATAAACTGTACGTAGCGCTCTATTTATATTAAGTATAATATAATATGAAAAATAATAAATTCGTGTTCGTGTATTTTCATATACATGTAATTGGAATTTGATTTTAGTTTTCTATTTATTAGTCATAATTAAAATATTTTATTTTCTTTTATTTGGAAAAGAGTGAAATGCACATAAAAAATAGTTGGAAAATTTTAATAATCAATAAGTTAATTGATAAAAACTTGTAATGTCAATGATTTTTTAAATCTTTTTTATTAATTAAAGCTTTAATCAGAAATTAAAATTATATATTTTGTTCTACCAATATATATATATATATATTATGTAATAATCCATCATTTTCCACTCTCTTACACGCTTCTCCAATTTTGTTATCTGCCAAACCTTATTTTCAAGCACTTCACATTAATTTTCTACATTTAATTAAAACACTTATTCCATTATAGATGTGGCAAACTTATACCTACAGTACTGAAAGTGATAGTCTTAAGTTGTCTCTACTATAAATTGCCACTAATTAGCCATATACACCATAGCTACTGCTTACCAAAAGCATGTCTCAGAGTTGCTCTCTTTATCATATCCCAGCTCTCGTCTGCTGGTGCTTTTGCTTCTTCAATTCAGTCACTTGCTTTCAAAATGAAACTGACAGACACTAATTAGCCATATACACCATAGCTACTGCTTACCAAAAGCATGTCTCAGAGTTGCTCTCTTTATCATATCCCAGCTCTCGTCTGCTGGTGCTTTTGCTTCTTCAATTCAGTCACTTGCTTTCAAAATGAAACTGACAGACTAGCTTTGATATCCTTCAAAAATGCCATTCAACAAGATCCATTTCAAGTCTTGAGTTCTTGGAATGATTCCTTGCATTTCTGCAATTGGCATGGTTGGTAGGATCACTATCACCACATATTGGAAATCTTTCTTTTCTCAAGCGGATTGATTTGAACAATAATAGCTTCTATGGCCAAATCCCACAAGAAATGGTCCATCTGCACCGTCTAGGCTATTTAATACTCAGCAACAACTCATTCAGTGGGAAGATACCAGCAAATTTGTCAAGTTGCTCAAACCTTCTGGTTGTTGATCTCAATGTCAACAAGTTGCAGGGTAACATCCCTTCTGAGCTGGGCTCTTTACTGAAACTTGAAGTTTTAATTTTGGGTAAAAATAATCTCACAGGGAGGATTCCTCCTTCCATTGGAAATCTCTCATCTCTTTCACTAATCTCTTTAACAACAAATGAATTGCATGGACAGACACCAGAGGAAATCTCTCGCCTTGGGAGCTTGAGATTTTTTATGTTTAGCGAGAATAATCTAACAGGTGAAATTCCTCAAGGCCTCTTAAACATTTCGAGCATTGATACACTAGTAGTTTATGGTAATCAATTACATGGCAGTATCCCCTCCAATATAGGTCTCACTCTTCCCAAGCTGAAAGTCTTTTTACTTGGATCTAATAAGTTTACTGGACCTATTCCAATTTCACTGTTAAATGCTTCCTCCCTTGAAAATTTTGATTTAGATAGTAACCATTTTACTGGTCCGGTTCCAAAGGATCTTGGAAAGCTGTCAGATCTTCAATACATAGAATTTTCCTATAATCAACTAGAAGGTGACTTAGGTTTCATTGTTTCTCTAACTAATTGCTCCAATTTTAAAGAGATGAATGTAGCATTTAATTTTCTTAGAGGGTCTCTACCCAATTCCATTGCAAATCTCTCAAAAGAGTTGCAGATTCTAACTGGAAATCAGTTTCAAGGTACCATTCCTAGTGGAGTCGAAAACCTCATCAACCTGCAAATTTTGTTTTTCTCAGGAAATTATCTAACTGGACCTATTCATATTAATTTTGAGAAATTTCAACAGTTGGAAACACTGAGTTTGGAGAGCAACCAATTAATAGGGGCCATACCATCTTCAATTGGTAATTCATCTAAGTTGAGTCGGCTCTCTCTAGCGTTCAATAATCTGAAGGGAAGCATTCCTCCAAGTCTTGGTAATTGTCACTATTTGATCCAGTTGGATCTATCACATAATGGTCTCAGTGGCTCAATACCCAAACAGGTCATTGGCCTTTTACCCAAACAGTCATTGGCCTTTCATCTCTTTCAGTTTCCCCTCGACTTATCTTGCTAATGCGCTTTAGTGGTTCCATTCCATTAGAAGTTGGTTTCTATGCAAAATCTTGGTCAAGTTTGGATTTATCGCACAATAAATTACAATAAATTATCTGGCATGATTCCAAACACCATTAGCAAGTGTTTGATTTTAGAAGAGCTTCATCTAGAGGGAAATTCATTTGAAGGGAAGATACCTCAGTCATTTAGTGCTTTACAAGGTTTAAGGAAGCTCGATATTTCAAGCAACAATTTTTCAGGAGAAATTATGAATTCATTAGCCGACCTTAAAGAGTTGAACTATTTGAATCTATCTTTCAACCAAATCCAAGGAGAGGTTCCCAAACTTGGAGTTTTTCTAAATTCAAGTGCAGTTTCACTACAAGGAAACAATGGTCTTTGTGGAGGTATTGCTGCTGTGGAGGTATTGCTGAATTAAAGCTTCCTTTTTGTCTTTCCCGCAACTCCGAGAATAAAGTATCGTTTGTGCTGAAAGTAACAATCCCAGTGGTTGTCGCAACATTTCTGTCTTTTCTGGTGTGTTTGTTAGTTATTTGGTATTGCAAAAGGAAATCCAGAAAGATGAGTCTTTCTATACCATCATTTCAGTACCAATTTCTGAGAATATCATATGCAGAACTCTTCAAAGCAACAAATGGATTCTCTCCAGAATATATAATTGGTGTTGGTAGCTATGGCTCTGTCTATAAAGGATTTCTTGAGCAAGTAGGAACAGAAGTGGCAATCAAAGTGTTAAATCTGCAACGAAGAGGAGCTTCAAACAGTTTCATGTCAGAATGCCAAGCTCTCAAAAATATAAGGCATCGAAATCTTTTGAAGCTGCTCAGTGTTTGTTCTAGCATTGACTTTGAAGGTAATGATTTTAAAGCTTTGATCTATAAATTCATGGCCAATGGGAGCTTGGAGAAATGGTTACATGCACAGAATGGAATAGAAGGAGAATCAAGATATCTGAAATTAATTGACAGATTAAACATAGCCATTGATATTGCTACTGCATTAGAGTATCTCCATAATGGAAGCTCAACAGAAGCTCAACAACAATTTCATACATGGTTGATCTAAAGCCAAGTAATGTTCTTTTTAGATGAGGAGATGACCTGCTCATATTGAGATTTTGGGTTGGCTAAAATATCTCCCACAATATTCTGATGAGAGTTTCAACCCTATCAGAGCAACAGCTCGTCAAACTTATTAAAGATCTATAGGCTATATTGCGAGATGACTGCTCATATTGGAGATTTTGGGTTGGCTAAAATTATCTCCACAATATCTGATGAGGTTCAACCCTATCAGAGCAACAGCTCGTCAACTATTAAAGGATCTATAGGCTATATTGCTCCAGGTATACACTTTCTAATATCTAATCATTTTGTAAAATACTAATCGCAAATACTATATGATATTTATTTCTTGTTTTATCTAGATTTTGTTATTATAATTCTATATACATCTAAATATTGTGTCTTATATTAATATACTACGTCTATTTGCAGACTATGGAATGGGTGGCAGAATGTCAATAGAGGGAGATGTATATAGCTATGGGATTATATTATTAGAAATTTTTACAGGAAAAAAACCAACTGATGATGCTTTTAAAGATGATTTAAGTCTCCATACTTTTGTTGAGGGAGCTTTGCCTTATAGAAAGATGGATATTGTGGATCAAAGAATTCTATCTGAAGAGGGAAGAGGGAGTTTTGAGAAAGACATCATCATTTCTATACTAAAAATTGGAGTTGCATGCTCAAAGGAACAACCAGGAGAAAGGATAGAAATGCCAAATGCAATAGCTCAATTGCGGAAGATCAAGGGCAACTATCTAAAGGCAAGGCTAAAGCAGGAGCGAAGGAATGCCTACCAAATTGGAGGTCCAAGTACTTCTCGCCATTAGTAGTGGCTTTATTTTAAAATATAAAAAATGCGTAATTTAAATTTGTGATGTGCATGTTAAATAATGTCTACTTTCCATCATGTATGAACTTCAATATGATATTAGAAAACTCCATGTCATAACTGTTGAAGATGCGAGGAATTTAATCCTTTGAATTAAATTTTCAAACGCAATGTTTGAAATATAATAAAATAATTTGATTTTAGTAAGCAAAATTCAATTTTCCTTTTTATTACATTTTTAAACTTTGCAGTAATTGCCAACACTTGTGCAATAAAAGCTACTTAAAATATCGTTCTTATCTTACCCATATTTTCACTACAATTCCAGTATTGTAAAATGTCTTATTAGTAGTTTTTGGGAGATTTCTAGGAAAGTGACTAGTGACCGTTGTCACAAATTAGTGAAACTTATTGCTGTTTTTTGATGGGTTTAACATTTGTTTCTCTTTACTAAAGTTAGTTTGTAGTATTGGTCCTTTATTTGTGGAAATAAAATAGGAGCATCATTAGCTCTACCAGTGGAATCAATTGAGTTTTTTTAGGAAGTTTAAGTTTTCTAGTTTAAATAGAAGTGTATCTCAAGAGCATTAATGCACAGAGCACTTCATTTTTCTTTTATTTATTCTTTCTCTTGATCGAGTCTTTCTCTTGATTGAGCGATAATATTTCAGCTTCTTCATCTTGTTGTACTATGATCTTGTATTTGTGTGATGGTATCAGAGCTTGGCTGCTTGCCAAGTGTTTGATATTATTACTTAATCAAGATGAAGGGTAGAAGTGCTTTGTCTAGTATCTCTGTAGTAAAGTTGGCTGGAATAAATTACAATTATTGAAAACTAAACATGGAAGCTTAATTTCAAGAGCAGGATTTGTGGGATCTAGTCTTTGGTGATGAAACAACAATTCCAGTAGACACTCCTTAGAATGCCAAATTGCAGTGGAAATGGAAGATCAAGTGTGGGAAAGCTGTCACGCTTGACTCCAACCACTAGAGGAATTGTTTGCTTTGGATCAAGCCAATTCCATCCCATGCTGGATTGGCAAGACCCATGCGGTTTTGTCCCGCAGGTGAAATGGAAAATTTTCCAGGTGGTCATCCATCCTAGGATTTCTGTTAAGCGAGCATACTTAACCCCAGAGTTCTTCCAACTCTCCAAGCCATTCCATCAAAAGGTGTCTTTGATAATAATTTTCACCTTTTCGATATATAATGCGATTCATACCTATGTTCTGCATTCCACTACCCATAGCTAGCCTGCCATCCTAGAAGATAGCCAGGAGCTTTGCTCTACCCGCCCTCTTAGGATCGCTTTGCTAGGACGGGATGTCATAGGCCCATCAACTTCCGTATGGTTCGTACTCAAACCATATATCTACTAGAGGGGTTCGACTCTAATACTAATTATCACGCCTGACTCCAACTACCAAAGAAATGGTCCGCTTTAGATCAAGCCAATTCCATTCCATACTGGATTGACAAGACTCGCACAGTTTTGTCCCATAGGCGAAATATAGAACTTTCTAAGTCATCACCCATCCTAGAATTTTTGTTAAGCGACCACGCTTAACCCTGGAGTTCTTCCAACTCTCAAGGCCATTTCACCAAAAGGTGCCTCTGATGATTAGTTTCTCCCTTTCCAATATATGATCCGATTCATTCATGTGTCCCACATTCCATTACTCATAGCTAGCCTGCCATTCTAGAAACTAGCCAGGAGCTTTGCTCTACTTGCCCTCTTAGGATCGCTTTGCCGGGTCGGGATGTCACAAAAAGCTTTATTTGCTTTACGGACATCAGTAAGCAAAGAGTCTATTAACTATGTTCGGGATATGAAGTCGCTAAAGCAAGTGTAAGACACTCTCGAAAAGCTGCTTGCTAAGAAAAATATAGCGTGACTACAATATCTTGAGAATGAACTAACTATAACAACTCAAGGAAATTCTTTTAAGAAATTGTGTTGAGGATATTTTTTTGCATCGATATCTTATTCGTGGCATGTGAAAAGAGTTCATGCCTTTTATGTCTTCCATACAAGGGTAGGTGAATCAACCTTTTATTTTTGAGTTGGAAATTTTGCTTTTAGACTAGGAAGTTTTAGTTTAGCAAATGATAAGCATTAACAAGCCTCTTCCTCAAACAGAGGATGTTCTTTACATTAAAGACCAGAGGAAAAAGAGTTTCTCCTCCAAGCACTCTACAGCAGATAAGAATCAGGAGTAGTCCAAAGGAAATTCTTGAGTTTATTATAGGTGTGAAAAGCTAGGACACATCAAATGAGATTGTCGGGTAAAGGTGGCATATGATCAATGTGGAAAACCAGGCCATATACAGTCAAATTTTTGAGTTAAATTATAAGAAATAACAACAAATATTGCATAAGAAAGTGTTGAATCCTTAACTAAACCCGGAGAAATGCTTATCTATCAATGTTATTAATCATGCAACAAACATGACTTCTGTTTTGCACCAGACCAATGCACTTACAAATTCCAATGTTTTATTGGCTACAACAAAGAATGGATCATGGATTTCAGGTGTTCTCATCATGCAATCTTTACAAATCCAATGTTTTATTGGCTACAAACAAAGAATGGATTTCATGGATTTCAGGTGTTCTCATCATGCAATAAGCTAATGATGCTTAGGGAAGAAGGTCATTGTAGCTAGTAGATAATTCTTGACATCCTGTAATAAAAGAAGGTGGACTTCAAAATAATGGAGGCATATTTCTCAAGGATCTCTATCATGTCCCATTGCTTTTTGAAAAAGGAATACAGATAATTCTTGACATCCTGTAATAAAAGAAGGTGACTCAAATAATGGAGGCATATTTCTCAAGGATCTCTATCATGTCCCATGCTTGAAAAAGAATATGGCTTCAGTTTCTCAAATAACGAACTTAGGAAGGTATGTCCTTTTTGGTCCCAATGATTTTCAAGTTCTTACAAATTTGAAGCATATTGAAGCTGATGTTTTGTTTACAGGAAAAAGAAAGAAATCTCTATATGTTTTGGCTACAAATGATGCATGTGTTAAAAAGGTAGGTTAGGTTACAAGTTCAACATCTAGCATGCTCGTTTAGGTCATATTGGTTATTAGCTATTGCAAAAAATCTCCACCAAGCAATTTGATGGTATCCCTATTTTTAGAGACTTTCACTATGATGAGATTTGTTAGGGTTGCCAATATGGAAAATCCCATCATCTCCCTTTTTTCAAATTCAAAGAATAGAGTATCCGCGGCGTTGGCATTAGTTCACTCAGACCTTTTGGGGCTAACAAGAACACCTAGTTACACAAGTTCTCTTTATATGATGTTGATTATTGATGATTTTTCTTGATTTACTTGGGTTTATTTCCTGGAACACAAAAGTGAGGCTTTCTCCAAATTTATTCAGTTTAAGCAAGATATGGAGAAAGAGCTCGAGCTACTAGCTGAGTGCTTATGCAATGATAATGGAGGAGAATTTCTATTTAATTATTTTATGGAATATTGTAGGGAACACGAGAGTCAACGACAAATGACTTGTCCAGACACTCCGCAATAAAATTGGAGTTGTTGAACGTAAGTTAGCTCATTTAACATTTGTGTGCTTGTCTTGGTTACATGAAAAGAATCTTTTAAGGGAGTTATGGGATGCAACTTTTCATATTGCATATCATGTCATGAATCAGTTGCCACCATGATTAGGGAATGATTCGTCTCCTTTTGAATTAATCTATCATCAGAAACCCAATGTGAGCTATTTTTGAGTTTTTTGGTCTGTTTATTATGTTCACAAATTAAAAGATAATCAAACTGAACTTGATCCAAAGGCTAGACGTTATATTTTTGTTGGCTATGATACTCATAGAAAAGGTTGGAGATGTATGGATCCAGAAACAAAGAAGGTGGTTGTTTCCCGTGATGTGGTATTTGATGAAATTTCATCCTACAAGTCTAATGAAGTTAAAGACAGAAGTATTATTAATCTTCCATTGTTTCTTAAAGATTCTACACCTAAAAATGCAGGGAGAACTACTTCTTCATCTTAAGAACAATTCAAATACATGAAGTTACTGATGTTGTCCTACGAAGATCAACAAGACAAAGAAAGCAACCAAATTACCTAGCTGATTTTGAAGTTCAATCAAATCAATTCTCTGTTTTGTTTTCTTTTTTCATGGAAGATTTACATGAAGATGAGCCAGAATCCTATAATGAAGTGAAGGAAATTTTTGAAAGGGAAGAAGCAACAAAAGAAGAAATTTTAGCCTTAAACAAGAATTTCACATAGGAGCTTGTATCAAAACCGATAAATGTTGATGTAATTACTTGCAAATAGGGATACAAAAAGAAAAAGGCTGATGGTTAAATTGACTAGTGTAAAGCTCATCTTATTGCTCATGGCTTCTCCCAAAAAATATGGTCAAGATTATGACAATACATTCAGCTGTGTTGCTAAAATGGTAACAATTCAAACAGTTATTTTCTTTGGCCACTAACAGAGGCTGGAAACTATGGCAATTAGATATAAGAAAAGCAATTCTTTATGGGGAGATGGATCATAATATCTTTATGGAACAATCTTATGGTTTCGTTTCAAAGGAGTTTCCAAATCACATGTGCCTACTCAAGAAAGCAATCTACGACCTCAAGCAAGCTCCACGTGTTTGGTATGGAAAGATTGCTCAGTACCTTTATTTTTGAGGTTTCAAATCTTCAAATCTTGACCAAAGTTTACTTATGAAGAAAGCATCCACTATGTGCACTTTACTCTTATTATGTGGATGATATGATTATCACGGGTGATAATAATGTTGAAATTGATAATCTTCAGGAGGATTTGTCTATTCGTTTTGAAATGAAAATTTTGGGTGAAGCTCATTGTTTTCTTGGTTTGGAAATTGAAAATTTTGGTGGGTATTTTGTCTCTCAAAAAGGATATGCAGTAAGCTTATCCAATGGTTTCGTATGGTGTAGTCAAAAGCAATGACCACTCCTATGGAGTCTTGCCTAAAGTTATCAAAAATTGATGGGAAACTACTAGAGAATGCAACAGTTTTTCGACAAATTGTTGGTAGTTCATTCTATATAACTATCACAAGACCTGATATTGCGTATTCTGTTGGAGTTATTTTTCAGTTTATGGATCAACCATGTGAAGGACACTTAATTGCAGTGAAAAAGATTCTTCGCTATGTAAAAGGCACTCAATGTTATGGATTAATGTACAAGCAGTTGCCATTTTCATTGAGTGGCTTGGTAGATGCAGATTGGGCTAGTGATGTAAATGACAGATGTTCCGCAACAGGATTCTGTTTTACTACATGTTTTGCTATAATTTTACGCTATAGGCAAAAACAAGTTATTATGGCTCTTTCAAGTTATGAAGCAGAGTATATGGCAGTTACTATGGCTACTCAAGAATGTTTATGGCTTAAGAGACTTATTCAGGAAATGGTCTCCACTTCCAACCATTCGATTCTCATTTATTGTGATAGTGAAAGTGCAATAAAGGTTGTTGCAAATCCAGTGTTTCATGCTGGAAATGGTCTCCACTTCCAACCATTCGATTCTCATTTATTGTGATAGTGAAAGTGCAATAAAGGTTGTTGCAAATCCAGTGTTTCATGCTTGCACAAAACACATTGAAACTCATTTTCACTTTATTCGTGAGAAGGTGCTAACTCAAGACACTAAGCTGTAGAACATAGGAATAGAAGAACAAGTAGCTGAAATCTTCACTAAAGCTCTTGCCAAAACTAAATTTGGAGGATTTCATGAAGTTATTGGCGTTAGTAATAGTAAGTTTGCACTAAAGGAGAGTATCACAAATTAGTGAAACTTATTGTTGTGTTTTGAATGGGTCTAAGATTTGTTTCTCTTTACCAAAAGTAAAGTTAGTAGTGTTGGTCCTTTATTTGTGGGAATAAAATATGAGCCTCATTAGCTCCACTAGTGGAATCAGTTGAGTTTTTTTAGAAAGTTTAAGTTTTCTAATTTAAATAGAAGTGTATCTCAAGAGCATCAATGCATAGAGCACTTCAGTTTTCTTTTGTTTATTCTTTCTCTTGATTGAGCAATAATATTTCAGCTTCTTCATTTTGCCATACTATGTTCTTATATTTGTGTGAATCATTTAGGTTTTGATGATTTTCAAGGAAAATTTCAAATTCATTAACCAACCTCAAAGAGTTAAGCTATTTGAAATCTTTCAACCAACTACAAAAAGAGGTTTCAAAATGTGGAGTCTTTCTAAACACAAGTGTAGTTTCAGTACTATGAAATAATTATCTCTATAGAGGTATTGTTGAATTCAAGCTTCCCTTCTATATTTCCCCAACTCCATGAATTAAGTATCCATTATACTGAAAGTAATAGTTCTAATATTTTTGGATTTTTTATATGTTTTTTAATTGTTTGGTATTGCAAAATAATTCTAGCAAGATTAGTCTTTCTATATCATCATTTCAGTACCAATTTCTGAGAATATCGTATACAGAACTCTTCAGAGCAACTGTTTTAAAAACATAAAGGGTAGTTACCCTATAGTTCCTAGGTTTTTATCAAATACATTAATATTGTGATACTAATTTATTTATTTTGTAATTTTTGGTTCCAAATAAGTAATCCAAAATCTAAATTTTTGAAGTTTCTTTGAAATTTTATAACTTATTCATAAAAATTACAACCAATTACCTTTAAAATATAATTAGTGTTGGAATTTCTCTATTACAAACACAACAAACAAATCCAACAACTTTTAAAGAAAAAACAAAGGATTCTCTACCTTACACTTAACCACATTAAAAAAATAAATGTACCACCACAAATGCATTATTCATTCATTAGTTATGTTTTATATAACAGTAGTAAGCTTACAAGAGTTATGGTTCATAACTACTACATCAACCTAACATATCTTTTATACCAAATCTCCTTAAATAAAAGAAAGTTCATAACTACTACAATCAACCTTAACATATTCTTTATACCAAAAATCTCCTTTAAATAAAAGAAAGACTCATACTTCGCCTCAACAATCATCTGCCTGTTTTTAAAAATTTAGGATGCAAAAAAAACCACCACAAATGCATTATTCATTCATTAGTTATGTTTTATATAACAGTAGTAAGCTTACAAGAGTTATGGTTCATAACTACTACATCAACCTAACATATCTTTTATACCAAATCTCCTTAAATAAAAGAAAGACTCATACTTCGCCTAACAATCATTGCCTTTTAAAAATTTAGGATTGCAAAAAAAAAAAGTGATATCAAATGTTCTAGAAAAATCTCAATATCCCAAGACTCCTTGAGATTTTTCTTGAAGACTCTAAAACACCCTCTCATCCACTTCAAACTTGGACCTGAATCATCAAACTTATAAGGAATTAGCTCCACAAAATGGTTCTTCTTAGCTTTTTTAAATGGATGAATTTAACATGAATTTGCTTAACTCTCCCATGCTGAAAATAATATCTTGGAACTGAAATAAAAGAATTATTGCTGCAAAAAAATATGATAATTTTCAACTTGCTCTGCTAAATTTTTCTTCGACCAGACAACATAATTTCCTCTTAAGACATATCAACCTTCTAACATTTGTAGTTGATTTAACCTTCTTGAGCTCCTCTTTAATTTCATTACAACAATATTTAAAATTTGATATTTTAACATTAAATATAGAATCACAAATACCTATTTTGATTGCCCCTCTTTTATTTCAGCACCTGTTGATTTACTATTCTGTTCTTGATTTTTCTTTTCATTTTTATCACTACCACAATCATTTCTGCCATCAATCTCAGCATAAAGTTTATCATTTTTTAGTTTTAAAATAAAACTATTATTTCTCAAACTCACTTCAACGATCTTTGAATCATGCGAATCATAAATAACACAACAAGCTCTTCTAAACAGAATACCCCTCATTTACTAGTTGTGCAACACTTAAAGATTTTGATCAAGCTTTGGAATGAGGAGAACATCAGAAATAAGTATATTACCTTTCATTGTTTGAAGTTCGATTGAACTTTTTCCTTCAGCTTGAATAATTTTCCCATCTCCCATCCTCACTTTTTTCTTGACACGTCTATCCAAAGAAATGAAAAAACTTTCATCTTTGGCCATGTGATATGTACAATCACTATCAACGTTCCAAATGTATTTCTCTAGTGACTCATAGGCTTGAGAAGCAAAAACAAAAAAAAAAAAAAAGAAAAAAAAAAGAAATAGAAAAAAAAAAAAAAAAGAAAAAAGAAAAAGATTCTTCAAATTCTTGTTTTTCTTCACTGAAATTGGCTTGTTGAGCAGGTTGTTATTGTGATTGATTTTGCTATGCTTTGCAAAATCTTTGAATGTGGCCTTGCTTCTTACAAAAGTGATATTGAAACTTTTTCCTAACATCTGTCCTTTGTATGGTTTGTCTTCCCATATGTACTATAAGATGGAAATCTTCTCTTCCCACTACCATCTTTGCTTTCGATTTCATTCTCATTAAATTTAAAGAAGATTTTCCTTCGTACTTCACTTGAAAAGCTTGGAAAGTTTAGAAGTCTCCCTGATTAACTTCTTCAGACCTCATTGAGACTCTTTATTCTTGAGCTTGTAGCTTAGATCTCAAGTCACATGATTCTTCAATAGCTAAAATTTTAGACTCAAACTTATCGAGAAGACTTATCATGATATTCCTGGTACATAAGATATTCAGCCAGAGCTCTCCACTACCTTTTGGTTTGAAAAACCTCACCATGAAGGCTAATTTGATTAACAATCTCCATCAGTTTTACAGAGTAATCTTTAACTGTTAATTAAAAGAGAAGAAAATTGCAGAACTTGGAGAATAGAGACGGGAAAATAGCGTGGTTTTTCCTTATCCACAAAGTTGAATACAAAAGAGATTATATAACAAAGGATTTGATTCACTCAAATTTGAAATTTGAATTTTTAACTAATCAAATTTCAAACTTGATTACACATAAAGCTAAAACAAAAGAGCTGATTACATAATTTTGTCTAACAGCAACGAGCTCCTGAATACATACAAAAGTACAAAAAAATATTCATTCAACAGTAACAATTTAGCATAATCTAAGTGTCATCTGTAACTTCTAACACTCCTCTTTGGCACTTCGGTTACAAACTGAAAGATTACTTCTCAATTTGCCAAATCTTTCTTTTGGTATTGCTTTTTTCATAATATCAGCAACTTGCATCTTTGAGTTGCAGTGGACCAATTTTACTTCTTCTTCTTTCTCAGCCTCTATAACAAAATGGTACTTGATCTTTATATGTTTTTTTTTCCATGGAAAACTGGATTTTTTACCATGGCTACAGCAGATTGGTTGTCACATAAGATTTCAGTAACACATTTTTGCTCAAACTTCAAATCTTTCACCACTTTTCTGAACCAAATTGCTTGATTTACAGTAGCAGTAATAGATATGTAGTCTGCCTCTAATGTTGATTAAGCTATGGTATCTTTTTTTTTTTTTTTTTTATTTTTTTGTTCAACAGTAATACTGCATGTAGTTTGCCTTGAAAATGAAGTTGCTTACAATGCTTCTCCTCATTTTGGTAGTAAGCACAGTTTTATATTGGTGCTGTTTCACAACTTCAAATCATTTTCTAACCACTTCTGATAACCCTAAAAATTTTGGCATTTTTGTAATTTTACAGTGCATAGGCGAAGCAAGTAATAGATTATGATTTAGTTTCGTGCTATTCTCTAAATCACGTAGAATTAATAGGTTTGGTATCTTTTTTTTTTTTTTTTGAATTCCAACTGATAGCTGATCTGAAATCATAGTATGAGAAAAAAATATTACTAGAAGTGTACTTTGATATCATGCAAGAGCTAGTACTCCCAATTACTGCTATACGGGGTGTGCACATTCCTCCTGAGAGTAACCAAACCAACTTTGCATTCTTTGTATATGTTTTATATCTCGATTACGCAATACTACTTCCTCGCTCTGGAAGATCTGCGGCAAATTGGCAAGGGTATTTATTTCCTGCCTTTCCTTAATTTCTAAGGACTCTTGATTTTTTCTATCATGTTGCTTTTTCCGTATTTAGGTGTGCATTTTTTACTTTGTTTTTGGGGTTGAGCTCTATCGTTTTGACTTGTGCTGAGTTTATGTATGGGTGAGTTCGCGAACGTGTGATTGCATGACATAACAGTCAAACTCTGGGTCTATTGCAAGTGTAAGATACAACCAAACTTCCCACAATGCTTGTCTTATAAACACTTGCGATTTACTAAGGGATACTAAGAACGCCCATGTTCATTCTACCTATTGTCTAAATTTTTATTGGATGATATTTACGGGCTAGTGACGTCCTAGTTGCTAACGAGAATTTATCACGCAGTTGTTCTGGCACATCTTCTTAGATTTCGCTTTTCTAATGCAAGATTCCCGAAGAGTATACATATTGTGTTTGTGTACCAAATTAATATATTTGCGCCCAGTCTTCTTTGTGCACTCTTTTAATTGAATAAAATCGCTATTCTTATTCTCCAAAATATATGATCATAGCATAATGCAAACTCCATTATTAAACCACTATGATAGTGTGGTTACA